TGAACCAACACGAGCAACAACAGCCCTAGTTCTGGCGACTCTACATGACTTCACCTTGATATCTCACCCAAGTGTGCGCTCCTGTTCGGCTCCGTGTAGAGTAGAGCCTTGCAAATGACCTGTCAAGGGCAATCAATACCCCGATGCTCACTGATCATGCACCGGCAGGGGTCACCTGCATTTGCGAGGATTCCTTGCCTGTAGCCACTCATCTAGCCACCAACTTGGAAACCCAAATGGCACTGGGATTTACAGGATATGTTTGACCCGGGTGTTGGAATCAGCATGGAGAGACCCCAATGATTTGTTCCTTGCTGGATGTTGCCCCAGCTATGAGACCTTTGACGCCTTGCACGGCTTCGTCCTCACGAATGAAGCGGGCACCCGCTGCTTTGGTGCTGCCCGCGGACCCAGGGATGATCGGCATGATCGGATATCCCTGGCGTTTGGAGAGCGCATTGGGTTGACACCAAGAGTTAAGAGCCCTCTTTGTCCCGTGTCCTTCGGTGTGTTTTGTTTCGGTTTGCGGATTTTCTGGTTCGACCTGCCAGTGCCACCTTAGCGGCAGCGACCGGGGATTTGACAGTCAAGCCACAACCCCCGGCAAGCGCCAAGTGCATGCAGCCAGATGTATGGCTGGAAGGGGATTGTGGGGACTGAGCAGGGAAATCCTCAAAAGCCAACCATTTCAAACAGCAGGCCCATCCATGTCTCCCACCTTCATGAAGCACGGAGTCAGATCCAGCCTAGCAATATATAAGAGAACTTATCCGTATGCCAGTCGCATGATGCTTGGGTGGCCAGGCCCTGCACCTGTGGTGCACGCACAGCTCAGGGCTTTTAGTGCAGAAGGCCAGCCGATTCGGCCGTGGATTGGCGTCAGTACATTCAGACGAGCAACCTGAGAAGGCTTGTTTAGATGGCTGCTCCAAAAATAGGACCATCCAGTGGCCTGCTGGTAAAACGGAATATGTCGTCTACAATAGTCTACATCCTTGGTCTTCTTTGTTGAGCCATAGCCAAGACATTGAGCAGAAACAGCATATAGACCGTAGACCCCCTAATAAATAGAAAAGTAGATCCCCACTAAGAATGTATTGGAAACCGTTTGTATCTATTGGGGGGGTCGCTATAGGTGATCCGTTTGATCAAAGCAGTTCCTTTTCGAGGCCTTGGCAGTGGTCAGCAAGCAGCCGCTTTGGGGAGCCCGGGCTCAAGCAAGCAGCGAGGGGTGAGGGTGTTTGAGCCAGGTGAGAAGTGAGATGGGCTAAGATCATAGTAGCGTTGGTCTACCCGGAGGATTATTCCGGATCTTTGGATGATTTTCCAAAGCGAAGAGGCTAACATCCGCTTCTCCAACTCGAATGTTTGGGTTGTGATTGGTTGCTTTAAGGACAAAACCCCACGGCAGACCCAAAAGTTTTGTGATGTTTTGTGTCGTCACTCCAGGGGTGACCACTCCGACTTGGTTCTTGAGAGCATCCAACAACTACCAATTACATACTGTAAGTGGTTTTACTACCTCGTCATGAAAAATCGGCGACGTGCTTAACGGATAGAATGTGGACCAATCCAAATCCCCAACAGTCCAAGTAGATTTCAGGACCAAATTATGATAAGGGTGCCAACATGGTACAATACATGCATGGCATTTTTGTAGGTCGCTGTCACGGGGGGCGTATTGGGGCGTATTGGGGCGTGTCCTTTCAAGTCGGCAAGCAAGAGGCAGGACTTCTACCCGCCAGGAATCCATCCCCACAACCCCTACGGCCAGGCCTTTCGGGCCTTCCTTTGCAGCTTGCGCGCCACCGCAGCCCCAGAGAGGCCACGCAGAGAAGTGGAAGTGTCGTCGCTTCATGATCACATGCACCGCGATGCGACGTAAGAGGACGTTGCCCAAAAAGGGTCCTGAATGAGGGTCCGACGGGCCCCGGTGTTTTGTGGATTTATGTTTGTTATGGGGTGGAACGGTGGCACCTCCGAACCACCGAACCTCCGCGCCAGTCCACGGATGTCCAGGTACATCGTGAACTTCGTGGCCGAGACGCCCTTGCCGCCTCCAGGCTTCGTGGTCTCGGCCCGGGCGTCCCGGTAGGACGGATACCGTGTGACCGGGGATCCGCTGGACGGAGGGCATGGGATCCGCGACCGGTCCGAAGAGTGCAACAGGGTGTTTTGTAGAGGAACGTCGTCTCTGGAGGCCTTAGGATCCCATTTTCGGGGCAAGATGATTCAGCATCCACATTGGATGTGCCTCCTCCTTTTTGGCTGCATTTTGTTCTCCACCAGTGCGTGTTTGTGTGTCATACCCTGTCGGACATCTGACTGTGCCGACCCTCTTGTCCTTCATCTTCCCGACAAACTCATGTACAGTACCAGCAGGGGGAAGTGCATGGCGGACAGACACTATCCAACGAAGACACAAAGACAGCTCGTGGACGCCACGTTCGTGGGACACTGGCCATCTTTGTCATCTTCTTGCTGAATTTGTTTGATTTTGATGTCAAACCATGTCATTTTTCAGACTCTTCGCCTTCCGGGCCGGGCTTGCTCAGGGCGCAGGCGGCCTGCTCGTCCCACCGACACCGGGGCCGCCCAGGTGGCGCTGCCGCAGCTGCCGGAGCTGGCGCTCCACCGGCCAGCACCGTGCGGAGCCTCAAACACGACGCGGGGGGAGGGGGGCTACGAGCCGGCAGAGTTTTTGGGGCTTGGAGCGGGAGGCCAAAGAGTCCAGAGAAATAGCCAAACCGCCGAACACCAGTAGTTGTCAACATTTCTGAAAAGGCTTTCACCCCTAAACTGTTGAGAAATATGCAGAAATGAACAGCCAAGTCTTGTATTTTTTAGTTAGATTTTGATGTTGATATGGCTCCCAGATGTTCCCAACAACAGCTTTTCAGCCTTTGCTTGTTCATGCTTGTTCCATTTTGTTCCCACTTCGTACCGCCAGTCGTTTGCTTCAGGAACCAGCTGCCGCTCCTGGACTTGCCTGTGAGGCAGAATATGAACATAGAGAGAACAGATCCAAAGGAATGCAAAAGTTTGTGGACTGGTCCTTCGTTCGAAGGCTTGTTCTGAAGCGGGGGAATCCATTTTCTATGCCACACAATGCACGCGTTTGGTTGAGGAGGTTTTTGAACGGTACTAAACCTGTGCAGATGTTTTTGTCCCAGGATTCAACCCCTATGCAACTTTATGGGCAGCACAGCTAGATGGTACGGCACACCTTGCATATGTAGGTGTCGTGTTGCCTGAGGGCTCATCCTAGATTGAATGGGGTGAATCCAAACTGAATCGGCCATGCAACATGAATCAACATGATGTTTGTTTCATCCGTTGCTTTGATCATGATGGTCTGCATGGAGAGGAAACTAAAGACCTTCTTGGGATCCACAAGCCGTTCATGGTCACTTCAGGGGCGATGGTTGGTTCGGTCATGGTCCGGCACCTGAGGAGCCCGGGGCCATCCGGGGCCCATCACTCCAGATGCACTCCAGACCCACCAAGACGGCCCTGCAGGCGGATGATCCAGCAGCTGAAGCCTGAGACAATGGTGTCAGTTGTGGAGGCTCGTGTGCAGCTATTCCCATAAGACCCGACACTGGCGTTTGGATCAACAAACCGCTCCTGAGCACTAGTTGCCTCATCAGTGGTGTTGTGCTGATGGATCCTGTTTCCAGTTGTTTCCATTTTAGATCATTTTAGGACGACAACAAAAGGGCATCGACAACTGGAGAGTGCCAGGCGCTGCTCATTGAGCAACGGATTGTTCTACATTCGACATGTTGTGCTCTCAGTTCTCCCGAGCTCTGCGTGCAACCTTTGGAGAGAAGAGGAGGCCAGTTGCCATACTTCTGAAGTCCAGCGGCTGACCCACAGGAAGGCTACAGCTAGCTGTCCCGTAGCGCTTCAGCTCGAAAGAACGCAAAACGAGCATTATGGATCGACAAGCTCATGCTTAGCAACAGGGTGGGCGGCGTAAACTGTATAGTAGAATGGACGAGTAGATCTCATTGAGCCGTGCCACATGCCTAGATTCAAGCTTTTGCGCGCCTTGCATTTGCATCATTTGACTACAAACCAAGTGAAGAAGTCAAGTGGCATTTGAGCTTTGAGCCCAGATGATAGCTGTTTCGTGAACGCCATGGCTGACGTGCGGCCACATTTTATGGCATATTATGGCGCCTAATGGCAGATGGCTAAGAAATCCAAGAAAGAGAAGAAGGTGAAGGACTGCTGTGATTGCAAAGTTAAGTATGAGAGTCTTCGTTTAGGTCACTGCTTGCTATCGCATGAACCTGAAATCATTGCCCGGCTCGGGGACGTTGGTAGCTTCATAACATTTCCACCGATTTTACCGTAGATGCTTCAGCCAGGCCTCCAGCTCCAACAGCACCTCAAGTCGTTGCAAGAAGAAGAGCCGCAGCCGCCGTAGCTCC